CTTCGCATTAGATGTTCGATATTGATAGGTTATCGCTGAACTCGATCAATCTGTAGCCGATGGTTGGACAATCTTAAAGGGCAGCGTCTGATGTTTTCAAAATCACAATATTATTGGTTCTCTAACGCTGAGAGCCATCAGTTGTTGACATAAATGACTTGTTATCCTATGCAGTTGGATTCGGCGAGAATGAGCTATAACCGTGACTCCGCAATGGCGATTTAACAGCTGCTTCATCGATGGTTGATCATGATGTGTTACAGGGGCCACCTCTCCAAATAACACGTTTGATCGAACTCAATCCGTAGGCATCTGATGCTAGTCGTCATATCTTTCACGACATGTTTCCACTCCAAATCGTCGTCATTCCCTTGAGTGTGCCATAATAGAAGACAGTGCGAAGGAAATTTTGTTCTCATGTTTATGGGTCCGAGTGACTATTCTTCTTGATGACAGACCAAATAACATTGATTGCGCACGTTTGACGAGAGATGTACCATCATTCCCTGAATCACCTGTCTCGAGTATAAACTTCGAATACCACAATCAATTCTGATCAGACGTTTGTCAAAACCAAGGTCAAAAATCCACCTCTAGTCAAACATTTCTTCCAAATCCATTGTAGACATTTACACAATTGGCAAATTGTATGAAAATGGACAAAGGCTGACGGATAAGGATTTTGCCGATCAGCTTGGACCTACGATGAAAAGTCTGGTAAGTGAGGATATATATCTTCATTTCAAAGCTTGTTATGAAACTTTCGATAGTTACGACCTGTCACATGAGGAGCATTTTTTCCTCCAAATGAACAGGTCAGTCAGTTATTCAAAAACACAGCCAAATGCAATCAACCTGAAATAAGCTGCAAAACTGTGTCGTTCGATGTGCAGGAGAAACTCCTCAAAACCGAAGTATTTCAGAGTCAAAAAGAATTGCTTCAAGCGGGAGTAGTGGTTCAACGGAATTATCAAAATATCTTTTCTAAATATCTTTCGAAAGAAATTGGTCAGTATCGTTATGATATTTCGAGGTTAGAAAGGCGTAAGTCTGATATCAATCATTAGGCCCCGGTACTATTATCTTGACTGTCCAGAAGATCACGGGATGAAGGAACCTCTGACTTTATGTAACCGGCAAGTTATTTCTCACGAAGTGCATGATGAAATCTAGCGGGAAGAAAATATTTTTAGATTTCTGTAAAGACAATTTCAATACTTAATTTCATTCATCTTAATGAAACTTCACAAAACAAGCTGAAGACTAATACAGCTATCAAACTTATAACAATGTGGAACCAGTACCCCTGCCATAGACAATCGCCACGCATATTTGGGTATCTCTCTCGTTTCATGGACAATAAAAACTACCCGTGTTCCCTGACCGAATCTTCGAGCCGATCGCGGATTTTGTAACACATCAACTGATCACAAGCTACTTCAATGAGCTCTGATCCCATTTATGGGAATGAACTCCTCAGCCGGTAAATGTCGGTGACTGATAATTAGGGTTGTAAAAACAGAGCAATACAGATGGTAGTAAACAATGGTGACCAACCTATAGGACAGAAGACTTATTGATTGGTTTTTACCCTAGTCGAGGTAAAACGAGACACATTTGAAATGTAAAATTATCTTCTAATTTCTCCTACGATCCCTTTGTGCGAAGATATCAGGAATTATTTTACACTGCCTGGTAAATTGCAGCGTCCTAACTCATGGTAATCGTAATAGAATTGCCAGCTGTCTAAGGTCAAACAACACAGCATTTGCGAGTGTTTAGCCTGACGTATTATTTACTAGACGGTCCAGTTACGTTAGAAGACAGCACATCAGCTCCTTTCCAGAATTCAGATCAAGACTTGTGGCAGCAGATTCATGATCAACGGGATGGCAGGTGGATAAGATGAGAAAGGATTCCCGTCAAGTGGTGGCTGGTTGTACCACCTTCCATCCACTAAGGAAAGAGATTACCCGGTGCAAATTTGAATCATTTGATCTGCGTTGCGGAGACTGCTGACAATCATTATTTTTTCCCATATAAACACTGCATTCTGAGCCAATAAACCGAGATGCTTCGGCGTTAGAGATGACATTCTCGACAGAGTCATCGGGGTAGTTTACAAAAACGTTTAGTTAATTTGAATACATCGGAAAATATTTGCTCTACAAACCGTGTCTGTGGATTTACTAATCGTAGGTTTTTCGAGTGAATTCATCAATGAAAGTCACTTCAGCAGAACGCTGATCGATGTTTTGATTATGTATCGAACCTTTATCGACACATCCGATTTTAGCTGAAATAAAGAACATACTATGAAGGAGGAGAATTGATCAGTTGGTAGCTTGACGACTAAAACTGGTGTTCCTCCATTGATGGAATGAAAACCCTTTCTCAAAAAGACAAAAAATGATCCTCGGTAATTTGAAGTTCAGTGATCTGTGTTTCAGACAAAATAAAGCTCGCGTGTGTTTCGAGATTCTGACTGAATTCTGCGTGAATAGTTTAGGTTATGGATGATACGGACCTGCACGTAGGTGACTACTATTGATCCTGTGTTGCTACTGATTAAATCCTATAAGATGGACTTGGTAGCGTTGTCAACGGTTATCCTGTGGAATATATGTCCTCGGACGAAATGAAGATGGCATGGGCGCACACTGGTGGTTTAGAAGTCCTGTGACCGTAATATTTATGAACCTCGTCGAAGGATTGACAATACAATGTCCTATCACAGGAGCGAACATCGTCGGGTCCGACCAGTTTGTCCTCCAGTCACAGATGTTTGTTCCAGTGTTAGACCTTCAAATAATTACACAAAATATGGATAATACAAGAAGACAACCTGTAACCAAAGGCCAACCGTCTGAAATGTTCGAAAGTGCTTTCTGGTGCACATCACTTTTGAGAACAAGAGATAAGAGTCAAACTCTCAGAAACGATTTGACTGATCAGAAATGAATTCTCAAGCTCTGTTGTCTCCGGTTTACATCTAGCTTATTTTTCATGTTTTATACTTTGTGCATGAAAAATCATTCGATGCACAATTCTAGTGTGGATTTTCGCAATATTTGTGAAAGTTTATTGCGAGGTCCTTCGATGATTTGAAGTCTATCAGTCAAAACTATATGTGATGCTGGACTTATTCCTCAAAATCGATCTATGAACGGTAGTTGGTTCAGCTACCATGGAGTGAAGTTTAAACAGTTTGAGCTGACCAAGAGGATCTGTCAGCTGTGGGACCTAACTCTACGAGTATATTCCAAATAAACTTATCCTTCATAGAAGTGGTGTGTTCCACGCGGTTTATTCCTTGTTCAGGATTGAACCGTGAAAATCTTCGCAGTAGGAATAACACATCGTTCTATATTTCGAGAACACTTTCTCCAGCTTTCCCACGGTTTTTCTCGATTCAGTTTTATTTGGATTGTCCACGTCAGCAAGGTCTATAATTCCTGAGTGTCGTAAGCCAAGCTACTTTTTCACAATAGTGGTTGATAGTCGTAGATAATATCCCTGAAAATGTGAGACATCTGATGAGTCAACGAACGATAATGGTTAACAAAGGTTTCGCCCTTCGACTGGCACCGATTCGGTATACTGCCTTGTAAAACAGCATTCTGATATAGTAGTGGGAAATTATCAACAAATATGTCGAGCCATGTTCAATGTTTGTATTCAACTTTCTGTTAGTCCATTTGAACATGGGTGGTGAGAAGGTATTCTTATTTGGTAACATCCAATTCTATCCAAGTAGTCAAATTTGGAGTTACTCCGGCACTAAACTGAGATCTGTTACTAGTTTCCATGTCTGCCCGACTGAGACATTTTTGTAAGGATTTTCACAAATCATGATGTGGTTTTGTGTGCAAGGAAACTTCAAGTCATTGGGAATATTGTTCTGTTCGTACGATAGAATAGTGTTCTTCAAGGAAATGGTCAAAAAATTCAACATCTGCTCTTCGTCAAGGTGGGTAGCTTTCCGGCCACGAAGGTAAATTTCTCGTTTGACAGCCTGGCAATTCATCGCGGTTGATCGTATTCTAATTATACCCGCTAGGATATAGTTCCCATCACTGTGCCATTGCTGCTGTGGATTTGACAGTGATGACTTGGGATTAAAACTGCTGGGTGTTCAGACACATTCGTAAAATGAAAACTAATCAGGGGGTTTTGCAAACGTCTGATGCCCAAAAAACCGACAGAGCCTCTTTCGAGGTTTGTGAGTATACTTTCTCAATCCTGGTGAGCAGTTGGAAAATACGGATCACAGGATGGCTGTCTTACGTAGGTACATCACCGATCCCAATCTTTGGACCAGTCACAAATACAGAATTCGCTGAATTTACTGAATACGATTTATCATGTTCATGTTTTACCGTAGCGGCTATCAATAGTGCAGTCTAAAAATCCCCCTTATCCAGCTTCCTCACCAGCGCATCACGCACGCACGCACGCACGCACGCACGCATCGTACAGCCAAGCGATCCCATACACATATTCACACATGACATTGTTCCCACTATGTTTCGTCCTCACACGTTGTCACCTTGACCCTTATGCTCATCGATTTCTGCTCGGTGAATATTGATGCATGCACACCCACATACACACCAACTCACTGGTTCATCCAGCCGACGGTTTCTCCTGGGCACAGACCCACCAACGCACGTACTCTTATGTGTTCACATGGTTGTTCTCCCAACATCAACCCACTACGAAGTAGCCTGGCCTCTGTCCCACGATTACAAATATGCAGTCCCAAGCATATATGCGTAGATCTGTAGGCCTTGCACTTTAGCCGTACCAGCCAATCAGCTTCGAGCGTCCTGTTTTAGACGAAATATGAATCGCTCTTGACCGAAGATATTCTCCGTTGAGCACACAGGGAAAATTCAAATATAAACATGGATTTCACAGCACAAATCTACAACGAAGTAGAGATAATGATTGAAGATTTGTGCTGAGAAATCGGAAACAAAGTTCTCGGTCAATTGTGAATGCCATCACTGAGTCGATCTGCAGCTGTTTCGTTCCAGATAGAATTGCGTCGTGAACAAAATCACAAAGTGGGTGATCTTCTGTCGTATGCACAATCAAATATCTCTAAGCCAATGCTTGAGAACCATGGCGTTCGAGATCAAATAACACAAACCAACAATAAGGGGTTTGAAATTTTATTGGGTAGTTCTGTAGGAACTATTACAATTTTCTAATTAGGTTGATTATGGTAGCAATACAACCGCAAATGACATAGCTGACCTGTCGTCCAGAATAGCTGCGACCTTGATACCTGGTGGAATAACTGCTCATTCCGCTTTGAAATTGCCACTGAACGTAAAACTTCATTGGAAGTTCCACATGCAACATTTCCAAATGATCTGTGTCAGGATTCAATGAAATTGAACATGGAGATTTTGCTCTCCAGATAGAGAAATTCCGTTGAACTAGTTCAGTACAAATCCTATGCTTCGTAACATTTTTTCTTATATTTAACGAGAAGTTCATTGCTTTTCATGCATTTTGACCACCAGTTTCCACGCTGACTATCACTTCCAACACCACGTGATTATTTGTTTGTTCACTCCCACAGCGTTACGCAAACTTTGGCTTCTATGACGGGTGCCGATTGACTTTAGTTGTCGTCTGCATGAATGTTGGTCTCATTTGTTCGATCTTATCGATGTTATTGCTCCGGTTTTGAAATGATCCTCTGGTATTGATGACCAGATCTGAAATCATCTCATAAGTGCCTGGGTAACTTCAATTTCGTTCAGTTTATACAACCACTAACCTCGCAATTAACTACCCTGGTGTCGGTTACTACCTTGAAGCTTCGCCTACTGGAGGGCAAGAGAATAGCAGCATGGATTATAAAAGACCCAAAAACCGAAGTATTAGGCGAAAATCATGAAGTCGAAGGAGTCCGAATCCCCCTACTCCACTGGCCGCGACACCTAGCGATATCAATCATTGTTTCTAACCATTTAGTAGGCGGATCACGTGGACCCAACCCAAAAGCCTCACACGCCTTACCTGACCAAGTCAACTAGTAAGGTTTTCATACTTTTTTGTCATGTTACGGACTGACCACCTCTTCCATCTTCCAACCACCACCTGCCTCGGAGAATAGCGTAGGCCGAGAAAGGCTGTCAGTGGGTATGCGTAACATTTCTCTTCCACCTCAATCTACTTAGATGTAGTGCCCGATCAACAGTCTGTCCTCTGGTTCTCCACACCATACTTCTATCCTCACCATTGCTAATACGGTGTTCCTACCAGATTTGCACAATGCTTCGAAGACTCTGATGCCCAAACACTGACAGACTTGGCCTATTTTTTAGTCTTAATGACCATGTTTCTGAACCGCAAAGGAGAACGGACCTAACCGCCATATTGTACACTTGACACTCGTCAGACAATTGGATGGCACGCCGACGGAAAAATGGATGAGGTTGGAAAAGCTCCGGATGATCGGTAGAGAAAAAGCCTTGTGAGGAGCTTTGATGTGATACTTACCAAGCTGATTCCTCCGAGGTTTTTCTTTTAAATTGATATAATCATCGATTCATTCCATTCCCTTGGAATCTGTTCACTTTCCTAAGTAAGCCGGATGAGTTTCACCAGCTCCAACACCAAAGCTCCACCTCCACCCTTGAAAAAAGATGGAGGCAACTATTCGGTCTGGTGGCTTTTTGTCCTTCCATATAACCCTTTCCCGTGTACCCTCAATTTCTGACGGAGGAGCGATATTCGTTTGCATCCTTTCTCTGGTAGATATATTCGGAATGTCTACTGTAGAAATCAGCCAACGTAACTGTTCTTCAAAGCGCTGCACACGACGATGCAGATGATATCCTTGAGAGTGAATCAACGTGCCGTAGAATTCCTTGGTTTACTAACCTATACCGAGCTTCTATAAGCCGATACCCCTAATCAAACAGTAATGGTTGCGAGTAATGCCGATAAAAAAGCCTCTTCTATTTCCCAACATTTCGCAATTCTCCACTGTTTTCTGTCATTTCACGGGCTCTTAGTCAGTTGGCCTCTCAGGAATTTGCGCACTTCGTTGAACGTGCCACCTAGTGGGACAAATATGTGAGCATCTGAAAGAGTAACTAATGTCGAATATAACTATTCTCTATGAGGCCTACTTGAACCAGATTCCCTTGTGGAATTAGAATCGGCATACGAGCCTAAGTACAACGAACACATTCCGTTATGAACAACGTACACAGATTGCTAACTATATGCAATTGAATAGTTCGAGATTAGATTTGTATATAATATGATTGATCATGCAGCTTAAACTCTGAACTGACCATTGAAAAGCATGGAAGCACTGTACAGCTGTTTCATCCTAGTTGGGAATCATCAGCAATGCACATCGACCGAGCCCCCACGTGGACTCCAACATTTGTTGGCGTGAACGATTGTGAATAGAACACCCTAATTGCAAGGCTATCCGGGATGGCTCTCAACGGTTTGTTCAACATCTACACTACCTCCTGAAGCACCATTCCCAAACTCGCATGGAACGGTAACAACGCGCTTCCCGCACAACGATCTAATCTATTGATCGATCACTTCTCTCTACGAGCGTAAGTACAACGAACACATTCCGTTATGAACAACATACACAACATGCTATCTATTTGCAACTGAATTGTACGAGATTAGATTTGTATATAATATGATTGATCATGCAGCTTGAACTCTGCCCTGACCTTTGAAAAGCATGGAAGAATTGTACAGCTGTTTTATCCTAGTTGGGAATCATCAGTAATTCACATCGACATACCTTCCACGGGGACTCCAACAAGGGTTGGCGTGAAAGATTGTCAATCGTACTCCTTAGCAATACAACGCTTTCCGCAATGTCTCTCAACGGTTTGTTCCATATCTACACTACATCATATAGCACCCTTCCTAATGTCGCATTGAACGGTAACAACGCGCTTCCCACACACCGATCCACTCCTATGATCGATCACTTCTCTCTACGAGCCTAAGTACAACGAACACATTCCGTTACGAACAACATACACAAATTGCTATCTTTTTGCAATTGAATTGTACGAGATTAGATTTGTAAATAATATGATTGATCATGCAGCTTGAACTCTGAACTGACCACTGAAAAGCATGGAAGCACTGTACAGCTGTTTCATCCTAGTTGGGAATCATCAGCAATGCACATCGACCGAGCCCCCACGGGGAATCCAACAACGGTTGGCGTGAACGATTGTGAATCGAACACCCTAATTTCAAGGATATCCCGGATGGCCCACAACGGTTTGTTCAACATCCACACTACATCATACAGCTCCCTTCCCAAACTCGCATAGAATGGTATTAACGCGCTTCCCACACACTGATCCACTCCTATGATCGAACACTTCTATCTACGAGCCCAAGTACAACGAACACATTCCGTTATGAACAACATACACAACATGCTATCTATTTGCAATTGAAAAGTACGAGTTTTGATTTGTATTTAATATGATTGATCATGCAGCTTGAACTCTGAACTGACCATTGAAATGAATGGAAGCACTGTACAGCTGTTTCATCCTAGTTGGGAATCATCAGCAATGCACATCGACCGAGCCCCCACGGGGACTCTAACAACGGTTGGCGTGAAAGATTGTGAATCGAACACCTCAATCCCAAGGCTACTGGGGATGGCGCACAACGGTTTGTTCAACATCTCCACTGCATCATATAGCACCCTTCCCGAACTCGCATTGAACGGTAACAACGCGCTTCTCACACACCGATCCACGCCTTTGATCGGTCACTTCTCTCTACGAGCCTAAGTACAACGAACACATTCCGTTATGAACAACGTACACAGCGTGCTAACTATTTGCAATTGAATTGTACGAGATTAGATTTGTATATAATATGATTGATCATGCAGCTTGAACTCTGCCCTGACCTTTGAAAAGCATGGAAGAATTGTACAGCTGTTTTATCCTAGTTGGGAATCATCAGTTATTCACATCGACCTACCTTCCACGGGGACTCCAACAAGGGTTGGCGTGAAAGATTGTCAATCGTACTCCTTAGCAATACAACGCTTTCCGCAATGTCTCTCAACGGTTTGTTCAACATCTACACTACATCATATAGCACCCTTCCCAAACTCGCATTGAACGGTAACAACGCGCTTCCCACACACCGATCCACTCCTATGATCGATCACTTCTCTATACGAGCCTAAGTACAACGAACACATTCCGTTATGAACAACATACACAAATTGCTATCTATTTGCAATTGAATTGTACGAGATTAGATTTGTAAATAATATGATCGATCATACAGCTTGAACTATGAACTGACCATTGAAAAGCATGGAAGCACTGTACAGCTGTTTCATCCTAGTTGGGAATCATCAGCATTGCACATTGACCGAGCCCCCACGGGGACTCCAACAACGGTTGGCGTGAACGATTGTGAATCGAACACCTCAATCTCAAGGCTATTGGGGTAGGCTCACAACGGTTTGTTCAACATCTACTCTGCATCATATAGCTCCCTTCCCAAACTCGCATTGAACGGTAACAACGCGCTTCCCACACACCGATCCACTCCCATGATCGATCCTTTCTCTCTACGATCCTAAGTACAACGAACACATTCCGTTATGAACAACATACACAGCTTGCGAACTATTGGCAGTTGGATAGTACGAGATTAGATTTGTATCTAATATGATCGATCATACAGCTTGAACTATGAACTGACCATTGAAAAGCATGGAAGCACTGTACAGCTGTTTATTCCTAGTTGGGAATCATCAGCAATGCACATCGCTCGAGCCCCCAAGAGGACTCTAACAACGGTTTGCGTGAACGATTGTGAATCGAACGCACTAATTCCAAGGCTACCTTCAATAGCTCTCATCCGTTTGTTCAACATCTACACTACATCATATAGCATCATTCCCAAACTCGCATTGAACGGTAACAACGCGTTTCCCACACACCGATCCACTCATATGATCGATCACATCTCTCTAAGAGACTAAGTACAACAAACACATTCCGTTATGAACAACATACACAGCTTGGTCACTATTTGCAATTGAATAGTAGGAGATTAGATTTGTATATAATATGATTGATCATGCAGCTTGAACTCTGAACTGACCATTGAAAAGCATGGAAGCATTGTACAGCTGTTTCATCGTAGTTTGGAATCATCAGCATTGCACATCGACCGAGCCCCCACGGGGAATCCAACAAC